GAAATACGTAAATAAAAAATTGAAAGACAGCTTATTTCTACTAACGATTTAGTTTACTACAATTAATAATTATTATAACTTTCTTTTTCTTTAATTTACGTTTTTCAGTATTTTATTAATATGACCCCCCCCCCCCCACCCCCGAAAAAAAAGAATGGGTGCAAAGGCTTCTTAATAATTAGTTTTGTACTTTTGTTTTAAACCCAATTAACTTAAGACATTAATTGCCAAGTTTTCTCGGGGAAGTTTCACAGATTAACGTTAATTCGGCTTTTATTGAGTTCGCTCTCCGGATAGAATGCTAAGGTTTTCTTTGCATGTTTCCTTTCTTAGAAAGGATATATATCTATATTGCTAAAAACAACTTTTAAAAATATATAACAAAAATAAAATAATTAATAAGGAAAAAGCAATACTAATCAAATTTTGTTCTGGACTTAAAAATTCAAATTTATATGTACATAATTTTTAAAATAAAAAAAAAATGCATTCTTTTATTTAAGCATAATTTGTCTTGATATATAGGCAAGAAAGTGTATTTTTTCATTTCATTGAGTGACTGAAAGTAATGGCGATCGACTTCTGCAGGATGGGCAATGTGATACCTCCATAGACCTAAAGAATACATGCTGAGCACATATTGCTCCTAATCGAGAATTAATGTGTGGAAGATCTGATAACCATATGTACTTAACTGTGTGGGATTGTTTTGCATAACATGGAATGAAGAAAGTAACTTTGTAGACACTATATTTTGAACTAAGATAGAATGTCTTTTTTTTATTTTGGCAACTTCTCCCGAACACTTTCGACAAGACATGTAAGATCTGTTGTCGAAAAGTTTTGCTAAAACAGTTTTATCTTTTAATTTCTCAAAAATAATTTAGTCTATCTGCGCATTTTTTAATTATTAAATATTTCAAAGAGAGTAATGCTAAAACACTCGGGAATTCAAGTTAATGAAAAAATTCGATATCAGCCAGTGTAAAAGAAAAGACAATCTCTGCCTTATCCAAGTTCCCCTGTAGTTAAATTCTTTTTTATACATGTATATTCTTTAAATTTGTAAATATACAAATTATACAGTATTAGTGTTAAAAGTTAAAAAAAAAAAGGCACGTTTAGATTAAAAAAAGAAGAAATAGACAGATTGTGTAACTGTTATACGCTACATAAAATAATATATTTTTCAAATTTTTACTATCATTCTTCACAATTTTTGCAGTCTGACATCCAATAATCTGTAAATAATAAATTACAATAGGATCGAAAGACACTGGCATAAAGAAAGCAAATCATTTACAATATTGGAGTTCTATTGTCAAAAAAAGTTTTTTTTCTAAAGCTTATTTTTCTCTTTTTTAATCTCATTGTGTCAGTGTAGATATATCATCGAAAAGGAATAATTGTCCGTGATTTTTTTCACATCTTCATGATCTTTGAAACCGCATATTTACAAAAAATAATAAATACTACGACACGAGTAGATAATGTTAATGCACTTGCAGCAGAGTATAATGTTAATTATCAACAAATTGTAAATAATAGCTAGTATGGCAACTTGTGCTTTTGACAGGCTTAGATTTTGATGGTGAGAAAATGTTGAAATCACAGCTTAATTTAGGTCAGATTATTATGACATGGCCGCAGCTCTATCCAATACAAAGGGTTGATAACAAGTGTAACAGCGGGGATTCATACAGCGGAAAAGAAAATGGTGAAATGATGAGAAGCAGACCATCTCAATTTTCTCTCACAACAATCTAATTCATTTATCTTGAAAACGATGGATTTGTTTTTAAGTTCTGTGTTAAAACAGTTTATTTTTCCGTTTCCCGATTTATATACTACATAATTATTTGTGTGTATGGCAGTTTTGAAATTGGCGGCATCGGATATTTGCATTCTGCCCAGTGGTTCATCTACTTCAAAATCACAGAGAACACGAAGCAAGTTAGGGAAAGAAAACCAAGTTAGACTGCCCCACATTCTGTAAACGCAATTATTTCAGGAGAGGTTTAAGTGACGACTGGACATAAAAGTGACTGTTTTCTGATGAATGGAGAAATATTGAAACCAAGACCAAACATTGAACAATAAAGGTATATTTACAATTATATAATTATGTATATGTTACGATAAGTGTAATTAAGGTAGTGTCTTCTAATGTATTCTACCCTTAACTACAGTTCATGAGGATTCCGATCCTTGGTCAAGGTAGTTGCTATCATTTATCTCTCTGAACTCCCCTTTTAAAATTCAAGGCGTAGTAATTAGTGTTTTAATTGCATATGTCCTGTATGAACTAATCTGAATGCAAAATCGTGATTAATGCAATAGTATATGATCTGGTTTTATATGAGAAAATTGACATCATCCTCAAATAAAATCTATCTTGTCTTAGTTTGTCTAAATGTGTGTGTAGACTGGGGGTATATGTACGTGTTCTTTAGATGAATGAAATTTCCATACGAAAAACCAACGGAAAGACTATTTTTCGATTTTACAAAAATTGTGCAAGCACCACTGCTCGACTGTGGTGCACAACATGTAATCCGGCATGCCTAAAGAAATAAATGCCCATGGGTTTTGAAAAATTGAAAGTTTAAAAACAATTATATGAGATGATTTACGAGTCTAAAAATTTTATCAATAGGTCAAGTATGGATTTGTTCAGAATATGGCGGCCAGATTTCTTTTGAACATGTTGGAAATGCATTCAGCAAGTGTTCAATTGCATAAGCCATCAGGAAAGCATAGAAGTGGAGCTTCGGTCAAAGAAAGTAAATGTGATAGATGTGTTTGAAATCAAATTGTTCAACAATTATCAAGAGAGGGACTTGCCTCCTTCTCCTTTTTCCTTCTCGGATATAGACTGGACAATACAGTTTTCAACGTACTTTGAATATTGTTTGTGACGTCATCATGCTACTGCATGCACATTGAACCCCCTCCGCTCGTTGAATACGGCTTGAAATCAGTCAAAAAAACTGTATGCATGTGTATGGATTATATGTTGTTTAATTATAGATTAAAAAATAATGTATTACATCATTAGTATATTGAGATGAAAATGTCCCTCGAAAGTCTTTTTTTCAATAAGATGTAACCTGTATATTTTTTTCCTCTAAAAGGTGTATATTGTATCAATTTATTTTTAGAGGAAATTAACCCTCTGATGTTCTGCTGTTTTCTATATATAATGTTTATTTTCTTACTGCAAATAATGACTGTAAAATCTAGTATATTAAGGATGGTTGCTCTGGCTTTGAAATACTGAATGTTCAATGAACCAATGTGAATTAAGAGAAAAAAATTACCCTGTAGACTTTTGCTATTTTCAAACTGTAAATGTTAGTAGGTAGCACTGTACACTGATATTCTTTGGTAGGATATTTACTCCGTAAACATGGTCAAATCAAAAAGCTATGTAAACGATGGTTGCTTTGGCTTTCAAATACTGAATGTACAATGCATCAATGTCATTTTTGAGAGGAAATTTACTCTGTAGATTTTGTTAACTTGAAAATGTTAACGTTTTATAGATATGTTGAAAACTGTACATGAGTATCAGTGCTATACTTTGCCGGGGGGGGGGGGTATTTACTCCGTAAAGTTAAGCTGTCGAAAGCACCCAATATACAGTGTATCAATGTCATGTTTGATAGGACACTTACTCTGTAGATTTTTGCTAATTTCAAATTGTAATTGTAGTAGTAAACACTGCATGAGTGATATTCTTTGGGAGGAAATTTACTCCGTAAAATCTACAAGATATGTAAACGATGGTTGCGTTGGCTTTCAAATACTGAATGTACATTGCACCAATGTGAATTTAGAGAGGAAATTTACTCTGTAGATTTTTATTACCAAACTGTAATGTTAGTAGTGAACACTGTATCAGTGAAATTCTTTGAGAGGAAATTTACTCCGTAAAATCTTGTTATATAAAGGATAGTCGCTTCTGAATTGAATACTGAATACTTTACTCCGTAAAATCTAGCTGTGTAAACGATGGTTGCTTTGGCTTTGAAATATTGAATGTACAATGCACTGATGGTTGCTTTGGCTTTAAAATACTGAATGTGCTATGAACCAATGTGAATTTAAAGAGGAAGTTTACTCTGTAGATTTTTTGTTATTACCAAACTTCAATGCTAGTAGTTAACACTGCATCAGTGACATTCTTTGGGAGGAAATTTACCCCCTAAAATGTAGCTGTCTATTACACTGTATCATTGTCATTTTGAGAGGAAATTTACCCTGTAGATTTTTGCTTTTTTCAAACTGTAATGTTAGTAGTGAACACTGTACATGCATCAATGATATTCTTTGGGAGGAAATTTACCCCCTAAAATGTAGCTGTCTATTACACTGTATCAATGTCATTTTTGAGAGTAAATTTACTCTGTAGATTTTTGCCTTCTTCAATTTGTAATGTGGTAGTGAAAACTGTTTCAGTGATAGTCTTTGGGAGGAAATTTACTCCGTAAAATCTAGCTATGTAAACGATGATTGCATTGGCTTTGAAATACTAAATGTACAATGCACCAATGTGAATTTAGAGAGGAAATTTACTCTGTAGATTTTTGCTATTTATAAATTGTAATTGTTGTAGTGAATACTGTATCAGTGATATTCTTTGGGAGGAAATTTACTCCGTAAAATCTTGTTATATCAATGATAGTCGCTTTTGAATTGACTACTGTTTGTTAACTGTATCAGTGTCATTTTTGAGAGGAAATTTACCCCGTAGATTTTTGCCTTTTTCAAATTGTAATATGGTAGTGAAAACTGTTTCAGTGATAGTTTTGGGAGGAAATTTACTCCGTAAAATCTAGCTATGTGAACGATGGTTTGCGTTCATTGAACTTTTGATATTCACACCAATAAATATCTTGTAAACTATGTTATTTGTTGAGTTTTGTCAATACCTAAGGGCAAAATGCTTAAAACAGAAAAAAAGATTTTCTGTTTTGATTTTGGAATGCGTTATGTATGCATGTCTAAAAGATTTTTTAAATAAATATGCCTAGTTAAAATTGGTGGTGTATATATTAACTGAAATTAAAATTTATGAACTGGATAAAATTATATTATTTTTGAAATTATAACACAAGCAATGAAGAAAACACAATTTTCTTGAAAAACAATACACAATTGCATTTTTCCTTTTCAAAAGCTTAAAGAACATAATTTTTATTTTAAAAAATCACAGAATTTTTTGTTCCTTCATTGGAAATCTTACTGAAGAAAAATTCATATGGGGATGAGAAGAATAAAAGCTTAGATTCTCATTCATGGAAAGACCAGAAATTACCATTTTCATTCAAACTAGAAATCACCATTCCCTAACATCATTAATATAGTAATCTAAAATTATTTTTAAAAGTATACATATTTAGTTGAATTTAAAAAAAAAATCTCCCAAAATAGTTTTTAGTTAAGAATCAAATAGTTTAGTTAACGTATTATTTACAACAATTTATTTTGATTTTATTAATGGAAAGGATATACTTTGATGTTTTCTCAATATATACATACTTCCCTACTTATAGAATGTTTGATGAATAATTGTCTGATGTAAGTATTACACATTCCATTTATATCCAACATGTAAAGTACAATTTATGTCTTACTGTAAAATTTCATAATGTAAACTTTTAAGAGTCTTCTAAATTTTCAAGTGTTACTAGGTTAATTTGGTTTCATTCTCCAAACTAAAGCAAATTTATTATTAATTTATTTTTTTTTAAAGTATAACCAGAATATAATGTCTACATTTTCAAAAGGTTACTTCCCTTTGCAGAATTAAGCTGGACATACAGTCAACATAGGTATGACACTGCCACCTCGTTCAGTTAATCACTACCAAGTTTAAGTACTCTTAAATGATATTTCTGTTTAAAATGTTATATAGCATCATTTATAAGCATGTTTATTAAAACCTTCCTACAATGATGTTTCTGATATTTACAGCAATGGCAATATTTTGTGTACTAACAGTGTGGCTATTGGAATAGATGGCGACTTGTCCGGCCGGTAATGTAGGAAGCTTCTCTTCAATTTGAAGCCGACAGCGGCATTTCAGTAATCCTGACACATTTTGCAGGGGTGTATGCCAAAGCTCCTTCTGTTTTGTGCAATCATCTGAAATAAGGTACATTGATTTCATGATGCGTGTATAATAAAAAGCAGTGGTGAGGATTTGTAATGAAATATTGTCACAATTTACTAAATTAATGTAGAAAAAGTATTTTCCTCTCTTTTCCTCTGCTAGCGTTCTTTCTTTCAAATGTTTTCTTTGTGGTTTTCTTTTTTAATATACATGTATATACATGTAATATTGAGTTTCGTGTGTCTAATTATTTTCTTGCCTGTTTTTTTTAGTTGAACTATGTTCAATCTCCCATGGCCATCACGCATTTAACATGCGCAGAAATTTGTGTTGATTATATAGAGCCGAAAGCGAGGCTACTGTGTCGACCGATTTACTCCGATGATATTTAACAGAAAACATGCATAAACATCCGTCACAAATAGTTCATGTCATTTTCTTCTGAATTGATCTAAATTTCATAATTTGAAATGTAAGTGAATGAAGTGATAGAGTAATCTTATTCTGAATAGTAGATTTCGTGTGAAGTAAAACTGAATTATAAAGAACCTTAAAAGTTTTTCGTAACGGAACTCATTTTTAGTGTATCGTCATACACTGAAAGAGATAGGAACGACAACTCTACATACTGACGGAAAGCGGTAAATCTAGTTTTTCCGACGCCCGACGGTCTCAGATTTTTATCATTTTTTTTACCGGTGCACAGAATTTATTCAACTTTTCATGAACATTTTCTTGGTTTAAATGAATTTATTAAGGCAAAAAAACTTTAGAAAACATGCGGATTTAATACTAAATCAGCAGTATTACCTGCCAGAAATGGGCAAATCTAGTACTCTGTTAAAAATGTTAAAACCAAAAACGGACACCGCTGTTTTCGTAAAATCGCGATTAAAAACAACGAAATGAAGTTTTTTTTAGCAAAAGGAAAACCTCATTAATTTTACATTCCAGATAATTTGTACGCATACAAACTTTCACATATATCACTGTATTTATGTTTGGCAATTAAATTTTTAAAAAAATAAATAACAAGTTTATAAATTTCAATGGGAATTGAAGTAGGTTGGTCACCTGATCAAAGCCTGTGAAGGCCGAATGCCTTCTCAGAAGATTTGATGACGTACCGACCCACTTCAATTCCCACTGAAGTTTATAAACTTGTTATTTATTACTTACATTATATATAAACTTGTTATTTATTACTTATATATATATTTAAATATATATTTGAAAGGGACAATTAAATATTAAATGAAATATATTCGGATATAAATATTGCACTAACCGGTCGCCGTAGATTCCCGTCAAAAGTACGCAAGGTGTAAATCGGCGGCTACGCTGCGAATTCGTCAGGCAACGAATTCTATTTTGAAGGGAATATTTTGTAAAAGGCTACTTATGATCAGTAATAGTGAACAGATTTTGTCTGGGAATATTTTTATTTATGAAAATTGATAATTAATGCTGAAAAGACACGGGTAACACGTCCGAGAATTGATGATAAAAATTTGGAGGAATTTCGGTCGCCTGAAAGGGATGGATGGATCCGATGGATTGAGACACTTGTCCGAGCCAGTTAATTTGCAATCAAGTACATATTAATTTTGATCAAAAACATTTAATCTATGATTTCAGTAACTAAAGATATATTTATGATGTAAATAACACGGAGACACTGGCAACGGTTTACATTGAAGTACGACAGCTCCCGATCGAGGTGTTTCTCAGCTGTTCATGGAATGATTGCAATGCTTTGATATTTTCCAATAAATTAACACATTTATCGTGAGTAGAATTTAATGAAAAAAATATAGTTTTAGCCTATATCATAAAGATTTAACTTAATGTCTAACAAAAATAAGGATAACCTAAAAAGTTCGAGATTGTGCAGTTGACAAAAGTGACATACAACGTGTAAACGAAGACTTGATTATATCGGTATATTCTCTATGTGCACAAAATTGCCAAAAATGTATTTGTTCACGTGAATAAAACAATAATCTCACTTTGTAATTTTGTTCGTCTTTATACATGAAAAGCAAGTCATTTTATATTCATAAGTAACGGTATATATTATTGCGCCGTGTGATTCAGTCATGCATTGACCTTTGACCTCTGACAAACTTCATACAGAATTGAAGATATTTTCTCTCTGTATGTTTATAAAGTAGAAAGATATCACAAATGTATATACATGTATTGGTTTTTAACTTGGTATTGCTCTTTTATTCACAAAGATTAAGTTCTGACGTTCTCCGTGTATAATGTTCATGCCATCAAAACACATTGATATTCACAGAGAAAGAGGTAGGGGCTCCATATGCGAAAATCGGCCCCAAATTTTTCGAATTTTCAAAGCTAGTTAATAAAATCGACTTTACTTATATTTCACAGTTTACCATCATTGCATTCCACAAATAGCAAAAGTTCGGGAGATTGACTACTTATGACGTCATATTTGTGACGTAAACCTGACGTAATTTGGCAAAAATCATCAAAATCTCATAATTTTTGCCATAAATTGATTAAAAAAAATACCTCCGCACACACCCACCAAAACAAAATTTCTTGTAAATGTTCATTATTAACAAATCTATCAACAATTGAAGTATCGTATTGGTGGAGGCCTGCGGAGCATGAAAAATCGATCGATGAAGGAAAAGCTTTCCTGTCATTCCAAGGAATCAATTATCATAATTTACATCAATATAATTTCCAATAGATATGATATTGTGTTTTTATATCACCGTACATATTTTAAAAACATATTTTAATATATCTACTAATAAATGTAAGAAATTGTTATCAATTTAGGACATGGTAGCTGAAATATGCAGTGATTTTGGGTATAGTAATTCCAAATCAGTCCGAATTTTGCTACACTCACGCAGTCATTTACCTTATATACCGCTGTACCTCGCATTACACATGCACACCTGTGTCAATCCAACCTTTATTTTTAAACAGAATGGTTTGCAAAAATAAAAAGGCATAATGTATTAATTAAACTCTAGCTTCAACAATATCATTCATAATTTGCTACCCTTTTCGAAAATCAACTCGTATGAAAACGATGCATTGGACTTCCCATCGAAGTCGTGACGTTTTTGCCTAATCAGTTGTGAATTGTTGATGGATAAAACATAATGAATTAGGTTACGATAGAATGAACTTCCATGAACATTATCTGTTTGATAACACCTAAAAATATACAAAGTTATGACTGCTATTGTACCCTACTCCCTACAGTTTGGTATTATCTATTTTCGAATCACGTGTACAAGACTGTAGCTGAATTAATTGCCCATTCTGCACACACAATTTATTTATATACAATGTTCTAAACGTGTAATAAATTAATATTGGTTTCTTTAAACGCAACTTAAAGGGTATGTAAGTAACGATTTTATAAAACAAAGCGAAAACTATTCCAAAGTCAAAACCGGGTTAATATCGGTCAGCGTCAGTCATGTAAATACCACCGCCCCCGCCCCCCCCCCCCTTCTTTCTTATGCGTTGATTTGTCGAAGATATCTTGTTCTATTATATGAATATGATTTTTTTGTCAACTGGGACAACTGGCTTTCATATATTAAATATACTGAATTCTGCATCTTAATAAGTATTATATAACATTCACAGTTAAAATAAAAAAAATGATTCGAAATAAAATGAATGTACCTGTAAATATTTGATCCACACACCACATTACAATTCTGCGTGTAATTAGTCTTTCATAAAAAAACTTAAGTAAACAGTGCAACAATTGAACACAATTAAAACAAAATGATAGTAAATCAGCATGTGCTTTTCTGTTTATAAAAAAGAAATTAAAAAAAGTAATTTGAGCGGAAATAAATTGGATGCCGTGGAACCCTCCTCGAAAACAGATAAACCTCTATGTGAAATGACTATGAAAAGTCAATCATTGAATGTGGTATAAGTGATTGTTGATTGAATGTTGTTTACATTAACCATTTGGGAATAGTTTATACTTAAAATAAAAGATAACAGTGAAATTTCAACTCACTTGTACATTACATGATATTACGAAAGCCCAGTGAGCTCATTTTCGTAGGTAAAAAAAATAAATTTTTTGCGTTATAACGCGAAACTTTCGCGAATAAACGCGTAACTTTCGCGTTATTACGCGAAACTTTCGTGATATAGCGCGAAACTTTCGCGATATAACGCGTAACTTTCGCGTCATAACGCGAAACTTTTGCAGTTTAACGAGACATTTGCTTTAGTCTCAACATTCTTGATTTTGTCATCAATTTTATTCATTTAATACAATGATAATCAAAAGGCTATTTTGATCTTGGACTATCACAAATTAAATTTTAAACTTTCTTGCTATTGAATCCATCTTAACCGTCACAATTTGTCTTTCTCAACGCTGTTCAACCAATTCAAAGTTTATGCGAGTTCCAAAAGTTAAACTTCAAGCTTATTAATTTCGGGGAAAATCACCCCTTTTCCGTTTTTTTTCTTATGCACTCTCTAGAGAATTTGAAATAATTTTATTCTATAGAGATCAAGATTTCAGAAAATTGTCAAAATGAGGTAAATTTGTCAATTGTGTTCCACCGCATTTGTGAAAATTGGATAGCAGATTTTCATTTGTCTCCTTTAGATTCACTGTGGAAATTAGATATCCTATTTTGAGGTTGCACCACGTTTTCATTCCATTGCTTACGAAAACATTGACAATTCAAAGTGTACAAACTCTGCTGCATACCTTCATAGTTTTTATTTATGGCTAGTCCACGATCTTCTCTATAACACAGTATTGGAGACAATGAAATTATACATTGTTCATTCACTTTTAAGTTATGTTTCTACAGTGTATAATTTTTTGTCCAAAATGATTTATTATAATTGCTTAATTTACTAGTGGTACAGTTGAAGTAAATGTTACTGATTTAAAACAGCTAGAAAAAATGTCAAATGGAGATTTTCCTTAAGAAATAATCAGTCTAAAGAATTCAACAATTGAAAAACATGTACAAGAAAGTAAAATTCATTTTATTAATTCA